ATACATGTAGTAGTTGCAGCAATAGTATTCGGACCTTGAAAAGTTAGGATAGACATAAGTATATCGAATCTGGAAGTGATAGCATCCATATCACTCTGTCAAAGAGAAGCAGTATTAGTAGCAGTAGCAGTAACAAGGGCAGTAGCGGTAGGCGGTGGTCCCCAAGTAATAACGGTAATTTATCCTCGAGAATGCATCTTAAGCTCAGGATGGAGTTTCCAACAAGTACCCTGAGATGTCATGGTTGGCCACAATAATCACATTGACAAGAATCATCTTGTCTATGATAGTCTGGGGCATCTTGTCAGTTCTGGTCTGGACGTTGTCCACCCTAGACTGGGAGTCCAGAGCAAGAAATAATGTATTGTGAACAAGTTCATGATATCAAGGATCAAGTTAACAATCTTGTAGTTGCAGACATCATTTCTTGCTTCATTCCTTAAGAGGCAGGCATTAAGGTACCAAAAAATGTTATCCATCTAATTTCCTATCAAATTCTATGGATTCTCTATGTTTGAGCCATTTTTATATGCATCAAGAACTATTTGACTAGAAGACGTTTGCATTTAGGCCTTCTCAATTGTTCATCTTTTACCCTTCTAAGTTAAAATGGATTTGCTGAACCTGATCTTAGCTGGTTATATGAGTTTTTTGGTTGAAGATTATGCATCTTTCATTGGGCCATTTTGATGGAACAAGTTATTGTGCATTCAGAAAGAAGTTACAGATGTACGAACTCAAGTGTAGCTTCCTGTTCTTGTATCAGGTGAATTCTTGGAATAGTGCATCCAAATTGCCGAATCAAAACAAATATGCAAAGTGCTTGATTATTGTGAATGGGAAACTATACTGTGGATGCCATGATAGCAGTATTCAGGTCCCAATACCTCATTGGCATGTTCAATTTTTTAACATGTTGCTTTTCATTTTCTTTATTCTCTTTATTCACATAATTATACCTTGAGTACTTCACAGGAAATTGATTTGGCCACAGGAACACTAAGTAATATGCAAACTGGCTCAAGAAAATTCTTAGTTAAAGCAAATCCTGTTTATGCACTTCAAGTTCATGATGGACTGATATATTCAGCCAGCTCTCCCTTGGATGGAGCAGCCGTGAAGGTACCTGCTTATGCGAAAAGATTTGATTCTGAATTTTGTTTAATAATGTTTCACTTTTTAACCTTTTAATGATTAAGTTCCATCATTCTACCTAACTAATACTTGTCTTCATGTTAAATAAAAGATATGGAGTGCATCAAATTTCAGTATGGTTGGATCGCTACCATCAACAATGGAAGTACGAGCTATGGCCATAAGCTCAGAGCTAATTTATTTGGGGTGCAAAGGGGGGATTGTGGAGGTATGGTGTAGCAAGAAGCACATTAGAGTAGAAACACTGCAAACTGGTACCATCGGTAAGGTTACTTGTAATTTTGTATGTCTCTCGATAGCGATCAAGATGCTTTGGTGATCGGAACCTCGGATGGACGAATTCAGGTAAAGAATCTCTTTCTTGTCAAACTCAGATATAATCTAATCATATTGGAATGTTCAAAATTTCAGACTGTTCTGTTTGGCTACCTATCATTTTTGTATATTGACAACAACAACATGAGGAACATTTTTTTGTAGGTCTGCAGGCGTGGCAACTGAGCTGACGAAGGATGCTGTAAATTCATGGAGTTTTGGGATAACTAGAAACCATTGATCAACATTCTTTTCTTGGAATAAACTTTCTCCATATGAGGGTCCCTGTTAAGAATTGTGTATAGTGCAGATTGAAGTATAATAATTTTGTTGTTTCAGTCACAACCAATTAATTTTTAAAACACCCATTCGTATTTGTGTACAGAAAATGAAATTTACATGGAGGTCATATATATACAACGAAGAGCTTATCTTAATCACTTATTTATGAATATTACTCAATTATTTCCTTATGTATGACAGTGTATATGAGTGCAGACAAAGTGATTTCCTGTCAAATGCTCCATCCAATTCTAAAGTTGGATATCATTGTGTTGAATCATGTTCGGGTGATTCAAATTATAGTTTAAAGAGACCTTCGATAACTAGGTATTTCTTATCACTCTTGTGTAGTTTTTAGAATAGACGGAAAGAAAAATAATCAAAAGAAGCCTTTTAAGTTTATTTTAGTGAAAATTAGGATTGACTCATCTTTAAAGACTTATAATGAATTTAGTCCGTTCCAACCCAATCAAGCTCGAGACACCCTTCGTTAAAGGTGGATCAACCGAAACAAGTGGTGGTTGTGAAGTGCTGCACTAGGAGATGATATTGCTACTGCTACTGTTTCGTTTTCGGGTCATAGCAAGCTGCACTTCGAGATGTTAAGATAAATAGATAGGTCATATCAACATTCTATTTCGGTATGACATTTTGTGACCGATGGTGTGATTGAATTGAATTGTTTTTTAATATTAATATTAAATATTACCATTTTTTATATGGGTGAGACTATTCTTACCCCTACAAATCTTCATTTTCACTTCATTTAATTTTTTATCATCAAACTATCAAGTTCACCCCTTCTATGTCCACCATTCTATACCCACCTTATTAGTAATTAAGCACACTCCATGATACATGCATCCCTTTAATAAGTAAATTAACTTTATATTTTGTCATAATTAGGTTTTTATTCTCTATCTCATCTCATGCACTCACAAAAATATTTTTTCAATATGAATTTTTTCAGTGAGATATAAGTTAATATTATTTTTTAATTTAATTATATATTTGATTTCATGTTTGTTGTATAAATTTTTATTATTTTTGGTATATTTTGATATTTCTGTCAAGTTTAATAATTTTTTATTTAGAATTTATATGTGTGTATATATATGTATACTTTCAGATTATTTGTTTTTTTTAATCTTATTTAGGTTTTGCAATTATACTTGTTTTTTTTTCTTGTTCAATTTTGTGTATATGCTTGTCTTTTTTTTTTTTTAAATGTTCAGTATTGCATCTTGTAGTTTTGCGTCTTGTAATTTTGCATTTTATAGTTTTGCTTATTCTTTTAATCTTTGTTTAGTTTTTTTTTTCTTCCTTCTTGTTTCAGTTTGTTTGTTTCTTTTTTTTTTTCCCTTGTTTTGTTATTTTCTTTTTAAAAATGGTGTATGTAGTATGACGTGGATTTAGTTAGTAATGAGATAAGTATAGATGAGATTAATTTAGTAGTTTAATAATGAAAAATTAAATATGATGAGAATAGAGATTTATGGGGTGAGAATAGCCCCACCTTTTTTTAATTGAATGTTATTATTTTTTATAGAGCAATGCTATTGAGACCTAATTTACTGACTCACTATAACCTTTGGATTGATTGTGGGTTTCATCAAACATTGAAATTTGGTGTTAATCCAATGGTTCTAATGAAACCACATCATTAAGTCGACAAATTATGTCAGATTTTTAAGTCCAAATAGCATTTTCCTTTTTTATAACATGTTACTATTTTTTGATTTTGAATGTTACTAGTAGTGTGTGTTTGAACTAACAATGTTTGAAATGTAATTAATTGGGTATAGTTAATCATAATTGAATTATTGGTACCAATTATATGTTACTATTTTTTGGATTCGAATGTCTCATGTTACTATTTTTTGGATTTGAATGTCTCATGTTACTATTTTTTATCATGTTACTGTTTTTCTGAATATATTACTGTTTTTGTTGAGCATGTTACTATTCATATTGTTGATTTTGTTGAGCATGTTATTACTGTTATTTTCTCAAATATCAATATTCAATATTTAATATTACTATTTTTTTGTATTTAAATGTTATTATTTTTTTGTATTTAAATGATACTAATTTTTGTGTCTGAATGTTACTATTTTTTATTTTTGATGTTACTATATATATATATATATATATATATGAGAGAGAGAAGTAAATAATCATATTCTATATATGGATATAGATAAATATGAGATAGAGAATTTTATGTTAGTTAAACTCATAAAATTTATGAGTTGTTAGTTTTCAAAATTGTTTTAATTAAATATAATTACTAGAGATATTTTGGACAATGAAAATTAAAATGAATACCAAATAAGTCTACGATTTGCAAATTTCCCTTTATTTTACACAAAAAAGAGTTGAAAGGAACATGAAAGGCCTGGTGAGAGATTTTCTTTGGTCTACTTCTGAATTAAGGAAAACAAAAGCAAAAATGGCAGAAGAGGCGAATGGGAAGGGGCTCTAAAATTAGTATATATGTCTCAAGCAATTCAACTCCATCCTGGTCTATTCTTTTCCAACAAGACAGGCCTGATCAGTTGTTGAAGTATATTAGTTCTTGCATTCTTCGTGACAGTTCGAACTTTTAGAGCAATTATATTTACAATGATGACTATACAAAAAGAGTCTTTTGTAAAGGGTTTGGATACATCACTTCATCATACACCTAGCAACCCCCCACCCCACAAACAAAAGGCCAAGAAAAAATGAAAAGGAATATCAATAAGCGGTCGCATTGTCCATAGTGTTAAGAGTCCGGAACTATTGGATCCTGTCTCCCTATCTGGTCGACGAAGGAGACGAATCCAAACAGCAATGCTACCAGAAGACAAAATGAGGATATCAAAGTTCATGTCACATAGTTCCACAGCATATGCCTGTTAACACATCTGAGATGGTGAAGCATATGGAATAGTAGTTACAAAGTTCGATTAGTTTTCTCCATTTATGCCTTGTACAAATCTTAACCTTTCCTTCTGTTCTCTTTCAGAAGGAGGGTGCTTATTGCCGCTTTAATAGTAAGTAGGTTTGTTTTATATCTCCTATGTTCTCAATAAAAGCAAAAGATTGTTTTACTAAGATTCTAACATTAGGCTCGTTAGCGCTTGAGTTTTCAATGAGAATGGGCGCTTATACTTTATTTATTAAGATATAAGCTTGGGTTTCTTCTGCCCAAAAAACAAAACACTCTTTGAAGCAAAAACCTTTGAAAACTCGCCAGGGGGAGGATGGAGATTTCCTCAGATCCCATGAAGATCAGCCAGCAGGTCTCAAGCCGAAAAGGAGGCCTTCGGACCATGCCTTTCATTATAGGTGACCTCTGATGATACTCATTATGTTTTTTCCAAACTTTGCTTGTTTTTTCCATGAAGTCATCGATTCATTTCCAACGCAACTATATATGTCAGTGTGCTACATGTCCTGGATTTCTTCTTCTCTGTGGACAACTTAGAGTGAATCACCTATGTCCTGCTTACCAGTTTACCAAAACCCATACTAAAACTTTTCTAGCACCTTTGTGACAGTTTCTTTCGGAGACGACACCACCTTTAAAGCAACTTGATCTCTCTGAAGCTCCATAGTTCATATCAAATATTTTCTTAGCATCACCCGAATCCTTATTTGGGTCACATTGTAAAATTACACTTCGACCTCCTTAACTATGGACTTGATTTCACTTTACCCCTTAAACTATTGAATTTTCTTTCATATTGCTCCCTAAACGACATAAATAAATTTCACATTGTCGCAAATGCACTAATAATCTTTTGGATGAAAATTGTCAATGTGTCGGAGCAAAGTAAAACAAAATCACATAATTCAATCGGGTCAATATCAAATTTTTTTTATCAAATTTATAATTGATGTATTAATTATTGAGGCAATGTGAAACTAATACCATGTACAATTGAAAGTGCAACGAGAGAAACACAAAAATAACACTTTTACAATAAAATAACACAAAACACTATCATGAACTCATAGTTGAAGGTGGTCAAAGTATAGTTTGTCCAATAATTTTTACAATGATGTTGTGAAGAATTTGTTTCCTGACTTATGTTTGTGACTACTCATTTGAATGTATAGCAAACGAGGCATTTGAGAAGGTTGCAAGTGTGGGGCTCCATGCAAACATGATATTGTATCTGAAGAATGAGTATCACTTTGATAATGCTACTGGAGCAAGCATTTTGTTCCTGTGGGGAGCCATCTCAAATTTCATGCCCACCTTGGGAGCTTTTCTTTCTGATTGTTACTTGGGTCGATTTCGTGTCATTGCCTTGGGAACTATTCTTAGCTTTTTTGTAAGAATCCAAACTTTTCTGAATTTCTTTTGCATTTCGATGATTGATCTTGCAACCTTGAACCATAATAGAACAACCTGACATTTTTTGACTTGCAAAAATGATTTTGAGAAGTGATTGTAATATGAGTAGGTACTACAAGTTAGAAACTCAACATTTAATATAAAGCCACGTCACTGATATGTAATCTACTTTACTTTTCATAGGGAATGCTTGCACTATGGTTGACAGCAGCATTGCCAACAGCAAGGCCTCCTCACTGCGGTCAATACTCAGAGAACTGTATCAAACCAACGCCATCCCAGCTCGCACTTCTCTTCTTGTCTTTCGCCCTCATGGCCGTAGGCTCTGGTGGCATTAGGCCGTGTTCATTAGCCTTTGGTGCAGACCAATTTGACAAGCCCGAAAATCCCAACAATGGGAGGATCCTACAGAGCCTTTTCAACTGGTACTTTGCTTCTGTAGGAATTTCGATAATGATCTCGGTGACAGTCACAGTTTATATTCAAACTGAAGTAGGGTGGAATGTGGGGTTTGGTGTTCCTGTAGTGCTTATCTTTTTGTCTACTGTTTTGTTCCTTTTGGGTTCTAAAATGTATGTTATGGTGAAGGCAAATAAGAAGTTGATGGCAGGGTTTCCTACAGTTGTAGTGATGGCTTGGAAGAACAAAGACATTGATTTTCCTCCAAAGGATTCGGATGACGGAGGGTATCATTATGACAAGGGCTCAAAGCTGGTTAAACCAACAGAAAAACTGAGGTATTTAGCATCATTATCACCAATTTATATTATTGATTTTACCTCAAAACATAAGAGAATTCATTAAAAGTTAGGATACTCTAAGGACTGCTAGGCATTAAACTCAAGTATCTTCACAATAGGGGCACATTGTGTATTGGTCAACCCGCACCCAACACAAGCCGAATTGGAGGTATTCAGTTTTTGGATATAGTGGACAAAAAAATAACCCCAACCTGATTTGAATTAGTGAATTCGGGTTGAACCTGAATTTAGCCCAAATTTCAATCCGAGTTGTGTACTCGTAGACTCAGATCCGAATTAAACAAAATTTTAGTTTGAGTTATGTAACGTGAAAATCAAAGCGTAATTGACCCAAGTTCAATTTGTATTTTAACTTGAGTTATGTAATCGAAGTTCAATTGACAATTTAAATATGAGCACTATTCTGGTTGAAGGTTTGGGTTGAGTATTTTAGAACTTGAGTTGAGTCCGATTGACCTCTCAGTTGCACCCTTATTTCATAGACATCCTTGCATTAGACCTTTATTTGGTTATTAACATTTGTTATGTGGATCTGTTTTTGTCTTGCTCTCCTTAGGTTCTTAAACAAAGCCTGCATAATCAGAAATCCAGACAAAGACTTAAACCCTGGTGGTTCAGTTTTAGAAAGGTGGAATCTATGCACAGTTCAACAAGTAGAAGAACTCAAAGCACTGATCAAAGTCCTCCCCATCTGGTCCACTGGCATAATAATTGCATTAACTAACAGCCAGCACTCATTTTGGGTTCTCCAAGCCAACACAATGGACAGAAGCCTCACCAAAAACTTCAAAATCCCAGCAGGCTCATTCAGTGTGTTTGAACTCATCACTCTGACATTGTGGGTAGCCATCTACGACCGAATACTCGTTCCTCGAATATCAAAATTCACCGGAAAACCACGAGGGCTTAGCCTCAAACAACGGATTGGTATTGGCCTATTCCTTTCTTTTCTAGCCATTGCAACGTCAGCATTAGTGGAGAGGACGCGACGTGCTCGAGCAATCGATCAAGGATTGGCAGAACAACCCAAGGCCATAGTAAAAATGTCAGCAATGTGGCTAGTGCCACAAAATTGCTTGACTGGACTAGCTGATGCTTTCAACGCAGTTGGCCAAGTAGAATTCTACTATTCTCAGTTCCCCAAGACAATGTCGAGCATCGGAGTCGCCTTATTTGCTCTGGGGATGGCTTTTGGAAACCTGGGAGGGACTCTGATTGTGAAACTTGTGGATGGTGTTTCTCAAAGAGGAGGGAATGTGAGTTGGGTTTCAAATAATCTTAACAAGGGTCACTATGACTACTACTATTGGCTTCTTACCATTTTGAGTTTGGCAAACTGTTTCTACTTCATTTTGTGCAGTTGGGCTTATGGGAGTTGTGAAGATCAGAAGTTTGGGGGGGAGAGAGAAGGGATTGAAGAGGAAGGCATTGCTAAATCCAAGGAATCTTCTCCCCAAATAGACATTGCTAAGTCCAAGGGATCTCCCATAACATATTATGTTTGATTTTCACGTGTTTCTTCGGTTGTTTGGCTACTGAACTTTTTATATTGTTTTGAAAAATGCTAAATAGAATTAAAAATTGACTTGATGAATTATTACCGTCGAATATATAGTGGGTTTCAATAAATATTAAAACTTATTGTTAAATCAATAACAAATATAACAGCCACATCATAAATTAGATTTTTAAGTTAGTTTTATAAGTCTATCTAGCATTGTTTTTTTTTTTTAAAGTTTGAGAAATTAACAAGAATTAACCAAAATTTTTGGGTCAATTTTTTACTTTCATTTATATTATGTGATCCAACATATTTATTAATTTGTGACATAAAAAAAAAAAAAAGATGTTAGTTTCACCAAGTTAGCTTTGTTCAGGCTAATATTTAGGGTTAACCAGGTTGACCTCTCAAACACCAACATTTTTTTTTAACGTCAGTTACCTGGGTTCCCTAATAAAACAAGAAGCAGAGATGTCCGCTCTTAACAAATGCAACATACAATCTGGAGGTGATTCAAGGATCACCATCTTTCCTGGTTGGCTCATGCCAAGATTCGTCCAGTAGTCAGCATAGTGAATCCCTTTTCCAAGAGTATGCACCAAAACAATACCGTGAGTCCTGATAATAAACCTGTAATTATCCACGACAACTTTAATCGGCAGGCTAATTGTCTGTTTATCAGATAGAAGATTTAAGGACTTCCAAAAAATCTGTCTTCAGAATGCAGTTCCTTCCTATGTTCTGAATCTGTTTGAGGCCTTCCAAGGCTGCCCAGAGTTCAGCTTTAAAACTAGTGGCGTGGTTGATTTCCAAAGAAACCTTGGATCCAAACTCCAATATCATCTCAGATGATTCTTCCTATTCCAGTTGGGCCTGGGTTGCCTTTAGAGCTCCCATCTGTGTTGATTTTAAGCCAACCTGTAGGAGGAAAAGACCAGCTAATTAGTCTGTGTGCTTTGGTAATCTTTTCCTCTTTAAGCTTCTCAAAAGCTTCAATGGTTTCTCTAGCATAGGGGAGGGCCAATATGACTATTGACATGTGCATTTGTTTTAGTGTTCCATATGCTCTCTCTATTTTTTTCTTTCCAAATATTCCGAATGATAGCCAACAATAACTGGGGCCAGGATTACCCATTCAAAGAGGAATGGGCAAAGGAATTGCAATATTTTTCAATCCAATCAAAAAGGTTAAGTGCAGAGTCAAGACGTCTCTCTTGTGGGGTAAGAAAGAAACACTAGATACTTTGTGGCTTGCTGTAGTCCCTCAGAATATGAGTGGTTGTCTCTGTATATATCTAGTGCTAATAGGGTCACTTGTCATGAATCTGTAGCTCAGAGTTTGTTAGATGTGATTCTATCATGTTTCACTAACCATAGGAAGTATTTAATTTTCTATGGGACTTCCAATCTCCAAATCCAATCCCACTTACCCCCAATTTCAAGTGGGATACTCTCATTAGTTAACATCTTATAAAAAGCTTTGGAAGAAAGCTTACCATCAACTGCATTACCCCAATAAGGAAGAACCTCTTGCTGATTGAACTGTGGAAGTGGGATAAACAGAATTTCAAGCTCAATGTTAGGGGATAGAATTACACCTGTCCTTTGCTGATTCCAAGAACCATCTGTATTAATGAACTATGAAACTTTAATATCTGGGTCAATATTTGGAGGGATACCTATAAGCTGAGATAAGGTTCTGTCTCCCACCCACCAGTTATTCCATAAGCTAATTCTTGAGCCATCTCTACCTGACCATTTAGTACCTGCTTCTAAAACAGACTAATTTTTAACATAGCATTCCAAGTAGGGGAACCATTAGCCTTTTTCCTCCAAGGGTTAGACACAATTGACATATATTTACTTTTCATAACATCAACCCACAGAGCTTTGTTATTACTATTTTCAGTTCCTAACTTAATTTTCCAAGCAAAGCAAAGTTAGTATATCTGCTTTTCCTAAGGCCTAGATCTACATGAGAATTAAGGGAGCACACAGTATTCCAGTTAATCAAATAATTTTTTTTCCTTTTCATTGGAATTACCCCACAAAAAGTTTTTGTTCAGTCTATCAATCTGTTCACAAATAGATTGTGGTGCCCACTGGACTTGCATTTCATAGTTAGGTATAGTAGCAGTCACTGCCTAGATTAAGGTGGCTCTTACTGCCATGGATAGGTTCTTTGCCTTCCAGCCAATTAATCTATCCTGAATCTTTTCAATTAAATCTTTAAAATGCTTTGGATTTTCTCTTATGGAGAATTGGGATCCCTAAATACTTCCCTAGATTAGAAGTAAGGGTGAGGCCTAATTCCTTACTTAGAGAATAAGCTATGTTCCTTCTCATATTTGGAGAGATGAAGCCTCTTGATTTAGCTTTATTAAAACTCAAACCCGAAACTCTACTGAAGTCCTCAGAACTCTATTGATCATAGTGCAGTTTCTATCAAGGCCTTAGAAAACAAAATGATGTCATCAGCAAACAGAAGGTGAGAAATTTCAAGACCCTTAGTAGCTGCTTTTAATCCTTTCCATTTTCTACTGCTCAATTTCTCTCTAATCATGTGCCTTTTTAAAAAAAAAAAAAAAAATAAGGGGTGGGGGTAAGGAAGAACGTCCAGTGACCACACTGATAGGCCCTCATCGATGGGATCATAAGACCCTTCACCGCACCTGGAACATTTCTCGAGACCAAACTTAGCTAGACTTGCATAGCGGCCAACCATCTAGCCTCAATGAGGATTCTAAGACTCGAACTCCCAACCTCAAGGTGAAGAGTACGGTTTGTACCCCACTAGACCACCCTACTTGACGGTTCTAATCATGTGGCTTAATTTCTCCATAAAGAGAACAAATAAATAAGGGGATAGGGTTCTCCTTGTCTAAGGCCTCTCTGCCATTGCAGAGAATTGAAAGGTCAGTTTTAGAAACACAAGTCATAATTAAATCCACCCAGCTATTGGGAAAATCATAATCACCACCCAGCTGTTGGGAAAGTCATAATCAATAAGGGTTTGACTAAGGAAATGTTGGAATATGTGGCTAAAATTCCTTATTATTAATTAAGTCACGGTTGGTGGTTAAATTCAGAATATATAAAACCCAAATCCGTTGATTAAATATTAAATTATTCATGATATATATCATAAATGTATTTTTTGTGAAATTATTATGTATTAAATATTACAAGATACAAGCATACATATATTAAATTGATATAATTAGATATTTGGGTTAGATCTTTTTAGTCACTATGGATGACTTGACTAGAGGAACCATCAAGTAGTGAAAGACTAGTCAATCCTACTTGAAAAATAATTAGCCTACTTTGACTGCAGAGGGTTGAGGAAATACTGATCGAGTTGAGAAAATATTGGGGAGTGATAACGGCTAGTTGAATCTTCCCTTATAAATAAAGTTCTCTGCATACAAAGATAACACACCAAGAAAACACCTAATTTGTGATTGAGGAAAAATCTTAACCCTACTATTTTCATATTAAAGAGAATTTTTATTTCTCAAAGGCTACCTCACCATTCATCAAAATTTGTTCTGCAAATTCCAATATTGGTATTAGAGCATCAATTGATCAAATTATTTTTCACTGTCAAAATAACTCTGAAAGTTGACAATGGCTAAGCAATATCCTTTATGCTGCCATATTAAGTGACTTAGACACTTGCACGAAAAGTCCATCAAAGACTTGAAGTCTTATACACTTCTATGTACTGTCATATTTTGGCAATTTTTTATTTTTTTTTGACCCAAAAAACTTCCGGGCATTCTTTTGTCAAACAAATGTCAATTCAATTGCATTACTGCCTCTTGACACGTCCTACAAAGCTATCAATTTTTGCCAAAAGTTTTCCTCTCAATTGATGAAGTGTTCATGTAATTCGGTGACTCAGTCACGAGTATCTTGATTGTATCAAATTTCCTGACAAGAGCTCCTATTCGCAACAAATTTTGGAGGACTTGATCACAATTGGTGTTGCTGGCTTGAGCAATTGTTGTTGCAGCCTACTCCAAGCACTCTTGAAATTATATTTTGGTAACAAAATTAAATCAGATCAGTTATAACTAATTTTATCTAGCAATTTATTTTTTTATAATTTGTCAATATGGGGTCTAAGGCTGGTAGTGTAGAACTAAGCAAAATCGAGAGACTCAATGGTACAAATTATTCAACTTGAAAATATAGAATTTGTCACATATTATTTCAAGATAAAGTTGACACACCATACCCAAAAAAATCACCTCTTAGAATCGGAGAGGCTGCTAGAAACACCTATGAAAGATTTGTAAAGAACGACAAATTAACTAGGTCAATCTTGCTCACTTTTATAGAGCCCGATTTAGAGGTCATTTATTAGGAACATAAAACTGCTAAGTCTATGTTTGATGCTATAACACCAGTTTATGATACTACCTCTAATACATATATTCAACTCTTGATTGAAAAATATAATGACAATTTTATGAAAGATGATGAGTCTCTTGTTGAACATGTCAATAATCTTGTGGTAATAGCTAAAGAGTTGGTATCTCTAAGTAACCCAATTTTCGATAAAATACAAGTTTTTACTGTTTTACATAGTCTTCCTAATTCATGGGAGTCCGTTGTGATTTCTTTGAATATGTCTGGCCAAGATTTAACAATGGCAAAGTTACCCATGTTGCTAGGCATTGAAGCCGAGAAAAGGGCTAAAAAAAACTAGTAATGTGTCAAACCTAATTTCTAGTGCCCCATATTTCCAATTTGTCACGGGTGCCCCATCTAATCATGTGTCAACTACTCCATCTTTTTTTAAGCCAAGACAAGACAAACATTTTAAAAGGAACAATAAGAAATATAACAAGTTCAAGTGACATAATAATTTTAAGGGAAAACATATAGGTACTTGTTATAACTGTGGGCAGCCCGGTCATTGCAAAAGAAATTGCACACAAAAGAATAATAGTCAAAATTTTAAAGGATAAAGAGACATTGTGTGTGTGATTTCTG